AATTGAAAATGTTTGTGTATACAACTATTATGTAACTGAAACACGGCCAACTCTAGTGCTAACCTTAAATCCAGTTGTTTGTACGTGTATAGTTTTGCTGGACACGACGTGGTAAACATTCCTCGACAAATTGAGAAGACTCCATTACGTATTAGGTTAGATATTAAAAAACTTTTCATCACTATTAGTTACTGTATAAATCTAATGCCGCATAAAAGTTTCTTAATAAATCAGATTCATTCGTCCTTCTCTACCAAAACATAGAGACGACGATGCGCAGTGCATCGACTATCCATAGAACCTCGAGAGAGTTCATAATATTATTGTATATTATTGTAATGTTATTGTATATTATTGTATAATACTGTGCAGCCCAGCTATTACAAACAATATTTGAGATACGTTCTTATACGTTCTTGACCAAAGTTGACGGTTTTCTCTGATAAACCTTGTAAGAGTTATTAAAATCATTTTTTTTTTAACTTTCACTACTTAATTCAATAGTTTGATTGCATATTCACATTTAGTTTTTGTTTTGTATATAAAATTTTCATAAAAAAAACCACCATGTCTTAAACTTACAACATTTTTATTTATATAGCTTAAAGTTGTATGATCTACCGACGTTCCACAATTTAATGTTCATAATATACTGTTGATGAATGCATTATATTATAGATGGCCATTAGTTGATACAAGTATACAACCAAGGGTTGATTTTTTAGGACTACGCAGCATTTTGTGGCATATGAAAGGGGTTAGGGTTACGACAGGGCTTATTCATAAAAATAGCATAAACAAATATGACCGACTTTAATAACTATCGGCGTGTTCTATAATATCGAAAAATATAAGACACTTTAAATAATATACAAAAACGTTTATGTACGATGACCAGAATATTTATTTGATAAAAATGCCTTACTTATATTTTGATGATTTAAGGTTTTATTTAAAATTGACTATAATATATACTTGTAAGATGACTATAAATATAAGATAACTAAATTAGAATTCCACTTAGTCGATAATTGAAGCCGACTTCAATTTTCGGATTCGGTGTTGCGGTAAGAACTAAGCAGTTCTTAATTATACGTTTAAAATATATAATATTTTCATATGCGAGTACCTACTTGGTACTTTTTGCAATTTATTCAAGAAAGACAATTGGAAAATAATGATGATGAAGAACTATGTATAATTATTATATACATGTTATGCTATATTTTTTTTAGTGATAACATAATATATTTCATAGAAGAAAAATAATTATTCCGTATGATTATCTTGAAAGTAAAAATCCAGAAATAGTAATGTTTTATATAATAGGTAGGTATTGAATTATAGTAGGCAATAGTATAATAATAAGGTTTTATGTCATGACCAGATTTCAGATATGACAAAAACAATCTGATATCTATATCGCTACCTTATTATTTTAGTTTAGTTTAGATTATCGAATTATTTAAGTTAGGTTAGAACAGTTGTAAAATTGTGTATCAGGTGAATAAAATAATAGATATATGATGACAAATTTCGTATTTTATGAATACTCATTAAACAAGCTAAATATCTAACACTCGTCTTAAGTATGATGTGTGTTCAAACACAAATTATCTTATTATGCACACCAAAAAAACCATCTTAGTATCAGCTTATTCCTACCTACAATGCATTATTGTTATAATAACATACAAGTATAAGTCTTACAAAAACCCAGATAAACTGATTGAAATGAATAACGCTATAGTAACAGTGCAGTTTTCCCAGAGGCCCATACAGAAACATATAAAGGATATCCGGTGTATATAAAACATGCCACAACTGCTAAACAATAAAAAATTGTAAAACAACTTCCTTCCATTTCTATGTCGGTTAACACTGTACAGTATTTTGGAACCACAACGGACCGTAGATCGTAAGAGGCGAGTTACTATTATAGACCACAGCCAACCAGTAACCAGTCTCACCGTACAATCGCATAATTTAATCGAAATTATTTCTTAAAGAATAATTCAAAAAACATTATCAATAAACTATAAACCATGCAGTTATTGAAGCGCATTAATAATATCAGTATCAAATAAACGTTAACACTAAAGATTGAACTGTATCACCTATATTGTTTATTATATTTAAAAAAATGAAAAAATACTTAATAAGTATAATAACGTATTACCTTTCATTATCATCATTAAATACTAAATATATTTTTTACTATTTAACATCCTGATTTGTTGTTAAAATTATTCTAACTTTCTTGTTTTTATTTACATTTCATTTTAATTAAATTATTTGTATAGATTTTTAGTCTTAAGTAATTTATACCCATATTAAATAGTAATCAGTTCAATTCACAGATATATATTGTTTTATATATCTGTGGTTCAATTACATTTATTATCATATAAAATATCAGAAACTACATCTCATTTTGCTCATTGTCTTTTTGTTTAATTGTTTACTTGTTTACTTGTAATGATTGTTGAGCATAAAACACTTTATAATGGGTTAGCAACGAGTAAAATGTGAGCACCAGCACCGATTCTATTAGACAGTAACGTTTATCAACAATCTATGTTTATTTGTATACACGCGGTGAACGAAATTGTTTATGAAAATTATAATGCGTGGACACTAATTTGACATTGTGCCTTTGGAGGACGGCAAAATAAATGACAAAAAAACAGCGTGCCCCTCATTAGCATAACGCTTACATTCACTGTATAATTGTTTTCACTTGCAAAGCTTTTTGGTACACGCCACGTAGTATCACCAATTTCATCTTGTAGGACACAATTCACCTACTAGGTACATCGTTTTAACCAGTTTTCGTCAGTAAAACAAAACAAAAAACAGAGAAGTACGTTTTTGTAGAGTTGACACGAATCATTTGCAGATATTTTTAAGAATAAACAATGACACAAACATTAATTTGCGAACCGAAATAAACAAAATCTTAACCTTATTATTGAGAACCATAAATTATAATTTATTATAAAATTGTAAATTCATTATTTTAAATGGTAATTACATTTTTAACATCACAAAAGATTTCAATGAAATGTCAAATACACCGAAATATTCTATAGGTAATGCAAGTGGTCTTATAAAAGTGATAGAGTGATAATGACAGCTGATACTAAAAATCAACGGGTCAACATAGATGAGTACTATTATTAATTAAGTGAAAATTTAAAGTTATTTGTTTTACAATATCAACATTCAAGATGCGTATTTCTATGATAACTTTTTATAATTAACTATAGTTAATTTTACAAGACTCAAAATGTTGGTGAAAATAGCTTGAATTTGATTATATTTAACACTAAGTAGTATTACTTGCTGTCACAATAAGCATTTGAAAAAAAAAAATGTACCATTCTGTTTCACATTAGTAATTTTAACCAAAGAACGATTTATCATATTTATATAATAAAAAAAAACTTTTTTATTTATATTTTGTGTGTATTTTTCAACTAAATTTATCAAGAATTAAGTAACGTTGTTACATACACATCCCGTAAAAGTAAAAAAACGAATTAAGAAAAGGTCATTGGAGTTATTTTAAAAGTGCAATATAGAATAATTCAAGTTGAGTTTTTCTAAAACCCGTTTCAGTTCGTAGTTTGTCCACTATGTCGAAAAAATTGAATGAATACTTTTAGATAAATTGAATTATTTACAATATTTACTATGCAATTAACTGAAAAAGTTTTTGAAACAGCGTAATATTTATTAATATTGGTTATATTATAATATACATTCACTGTAATATAATATAATTTTATGAGGTTTGCTTATTGTAATTGAATCATCCGCAGCGTATCAGATATAATTATTTGAATTTTTAATAACATGCTTTGATTTGTTTATTTGTATCAACCTTTCAAACTAAATACTTAGTCTTGATTACTTGTATATTAAAATAGAACAGGTATATACAATGATATATAAAACTATAATATATTACGTGAGTAATTGAGATTTATTCCATGATTTTACAGAATATTATAAATAATGGCTTTGGTTGATATAAAATATAAGGGTTCTACATCATAATATATATTATACACAAATATAAGTTATATTTGGTGTGTTCGATTTTCTATAAATAAAATATACCAATAAATGTGTATTGTGTATACATTTTATGATTTTCATATTAGCATAATGTCATTGTGTATTATACACTTGTTTATTATTACATTGAATTTATACATTGAATGTATAATTATGTTTATTTTTATTCGATATACATCTCAACTATGATTATTTTTTTAGTTTCCACTATCGGGATTGAATTATTGAAATACGAAAATATTATGTATTGCATAGTTAAGTAATCAATATAAATAGTCATTAAAAAATATAAAAAGTAAGAACATTTAAGAACGTTGGTACAATTTTTATAGTAGGTATTTTGAACTAAAATAAATTACTTACATAACTTTGTTTAGGACTGTGGGTAGATAAGTAAAATGAATTAAAATGAATGGCATTGGAGATAGACAGATCAATAATAAACTATTAACAAATATAAAATAATTTGATTTATTTAAGAGTTAAACGAATGATTATAACGAAAAATGGAAAAGATAATTGGATCTTGTTTGGTGGCCTGAACTCTGAATATCAGGAAAGATAATAACTCATCAGAACAGTTTTCCGAGCCTAACAAAATGTGTGTATACAAATTAAAAATTACAATAGAACAATCTTACTTTTTTTTTTTAAATTCATAATTTCGTTGCAACGGTTATTAACTTATGTCACCAATATTGATATATTTTTAGAGAGGCTGAGTTGAATACTATTTCCTATTAATACACATGTATGCGGTGGTTCGATGACATAATGATAAATAGTAAAAAATTGAAATTTTAAACATGATAAAAACCATTTAATTTCGTTTTTATCTGATTGATTGATTAATATTTCTATAGTTTCAAAGATGTAAACATAGTTTAAATGTTGGCAGTAAGCAATAAATAACATACCGGTCTTTGTTGCAGGTTTTGGACTGTGCAGTATAGAAACGTGCTCTCGCCCAATCTAGCTGTCACGTTAGACATTGCTGGACCCTCAAATACTGGAGGCGATATTGGTTGTTGAATTTTAGTGGAATTTCTCCGTCTTGTATGTGGAGGTGTCTTTATTTTTGGCACAGCAGATGTCGTTGGTTGGACTAATTCAGGATCCAACACAGTCTCTATAACACAAAAAAAAATTATGTGTAACTATAAATTATGTTATATTTTAACAATACAAACGATCACAGATGCGTTTGAAAAGTTCGTCTTTGATAACATACAATTTTAACGCATTGTTATTTCCCAAGTTCAACAGTATAGCTATAGTGCTATACTCATGTGTTTTCATAATTTATTGTTATTATGCATATTATTATGTACATGTATTTTAATACTTCTGTCAAATAATGAATTATACTCAATGAAATCACTCACCATTATACTATAATACTATAGCTCAATAATTATTATTTTACATTATCTCTACTTTTAAAAAACAAAATTGTCAAAAAATAATTTATAATATATACAATTTAAGGTTGAGCTTACTTTTTAATTCCATATATGCTCTTCATAATCCACAGATTTTTTTTATTTAAATTGAAGACGCTTTGTTAACACAAAAAATAATGCTGTTATTGTTTTAAAAATAAAATCAATTTTTTAATCATCCTAAGTTATCTTCTGAATTTCATTTTACGTACGTGTCTCCAGCCCCCCACATTAGAATTTTCCAATTTTTTTTTGGCAAATAATTAGCATGCAATTAGCATGTATTTGCATGCTAATTTTTGTAATTTGCATGCGTTTTAATTAGGCGTGGTATCAAAAAATAGGTGGGGGGCTGTAGACACGTGTCTCCGACCCCCCCACACATCACAAAAACTTATTTTAAAATTTTTTTTTACGCCAATATTTAGCATGTAATTAGCATGTATTTGCACGCCTGACCCCGCAGCTCTACCGTCATCCGTTGCGTCGCAATACTCATTTTTCCGATTTGCACGTGTCCCCAGCCCCCCCACTTTGGGAAATACTTGGAAATTCGAAATCGTTTCTACGCTAATTTTTAGCATGTAATTATCATGTGTTTTCTCGGCTAACGATTTGTATATTATAACTTTTTTCCTAAAACTATATATTTTATAATTTAGATTATAAATCCAAATAGTTGTTAAAATAGGTAATTTTTAACTATACCATCCTTGTAAATACGTTTTTTCAATTAGATTAAATTATTGAAATTGTTTATATATTTTTAATGTTGTTATGATTATATAAATATTTAAATAACTTTTTATTCCTTAGTGTGAACTTTTTAAAATATTTTCCAATTATTTGATGCCCCTCTCTTCATGGCCACTCAAATATTGAAATATCCAATTGGTTATTAAAATGGTTAAGATGTGATGTGCCACAACCAAAGCATACAGTGTGTGATCAATCATTAGCCCTTTTGTCTGCTATTGTCCAGTGTTTTACCCAATATTCATCACTCCATGATTACTTAACAGTTTGTGCAGAGTTACTCAAAGAAGGCATTGCTGTAGATTCGCATTGGATTCCAAGATGTTTCGTGAGAGTTGATGTAGCTCATTTTGTTAAATTAGCGAGCAAATGGATACCTCTAAAAAATATTACCAGATTAGCCAAGGAAATGGTGCTTCGTACAGTTGGTTTACTAATAAAAAGTAAAAGTCTAGTGGAAATGCGTTTACTATTATTATGTTTATTTGTATTGTTCATTAACGAAACTAACGGAACTGACAAAGAAACCGGGGAAGAAACACCATGTGAACAATACAAAAATATTTTAACTGAGGCTACTTCAACAGGATTTGTTGATATTCAAAAACAATTCGATGATATTATAGCTGTATCAGAAACGGAAGATGAAGCTAGAATCAATATAGAAAAAGAATATGAACGTCAGAATGAAGGTTTGGATACATTTGAGAACCCATTTCAAGCATGGGCTAATGATATATTCAACGAGAGTAAAAATTATGTAAGAGAAGGTACTGGAATAAATCCTTTCTATTGTCCTGAACTAGTACCGATTATAATTAAGGCAACCAAGCTTATACCTTTGTGGTCTGCAGTAATGGTACCAATTTTTGGATACGGAGAAGAATTTTCTAGCTCGGCTGCGGTGGAATCTAGTTTCAAGAAACTGAAAACTGTAACAATGAGGCATATTAATCTACCAACCACACTAGAAATATTCTTGGAAAACCATATTCTATCACTTAAAGGTTCATCATTGCTACGTTCTACTCATAATAGAATTTCCTCAATATCTCCTGTACGTAATACCCTCAGTACTATCAGTGAAATGTCAGAAAACAATAATAAAATTAGTACTGATGATGTGACTGAATTAAACAATGTTCATAAATATGACTGGGGCGACAGAAGTGATGATTCAGCCGATTCAAGTCAACTTCTTGTCGATGACGAAATGATAGGAAAAATTATGAATAAAAAAGATACCTCAATATCTCCTGTACGTAATACACTCAGTACTAAAAGTGAAGTGTCAGAAAACAATAATAAAATTAGTACTGATGATGTGACTGAATTAAACACAGTTCATATATATGACTGGGGCGACAGAAGTAATGATTCAGCCGATTCAAGTAAACTTCTTGCCGATGACGAAATTACGAATAAAAAAGATAGTCATATTATGAAATGTACAATTTCGCCATCTACCACAGGTAAATAAAATACAAATTCAATTTTAAAATGTTTATTTTTAATAGTTTTATATTAGATGACTTTTTTAGTATTACCCGCTATAAAGATATAGTTTATTAAAATTGTAATTAATTAAAAGAAAATATTTTATATGAAATATAATATATCATGGAAACTATTTAAAATTGGAACATAAACCATAAAGCAATAATGCACATAAAAAGTTAATCATTGCTAGAAAGCACAAATAAAATAAATTATTTTAAAACCATAAATTATAAATTGACTGATGATTAAAAGACGACGAGTATGACTACTTGTTTTGTTTTTATAATTTGTTTATATCACTTGGTATAACTAGGGATAGTAAAGAATGAATATATTATGTTCAAATATTTAAATTAATACATTTAATCTTATTTCATAAAAAAAAGTTTCTCATTTATTATAAATTAATTATTGTTATTAATATATTATATAAATTTAATTAATTTTAAGAAAATGGTGTCTTGTCGGAAGAATGCTTAGCTCGTGAAAGCTGGGATCGTAAGAACAAACAGAGAAAATCAAAGTCATACCTTATACCAAACCCTCACTTGAAGTTCTTGGATATAAATAACACAAGAAGTCTCAAATCTCTACCAATTTTAAAAAATGGCTCAAGGTTCAAAGAGTTGAAAAGTTGTAAAGCCCAAAATATATCTGGAAAAGTGGTCTTAAGCAACACATGTGCGTTTGATACCGTAGCGTCGTTGATTATGGTAATTAAGAATTTCAAAATCAGAATATACCTAATATATAAATAATTAGGACTGTGAATTTGTAGGAAAGTACATTTTTTTTTGGTGATTGTGAACCGTAGCTATGTAAGTACATAATTTTAATTATGAAACTTTTATTTTGCATTTTTATGTCATATTTTCCATTTTTAGTTCATTTTCCGGTATTTTTAATCAAATTCCGTCAATTGACATATTTGAAAAAAAATCATTACATGTATAGAAATTAAATAAAAACCATTATAAGAGAATTTTATACTATAATTTTTGGCATTTTATATTGCATTTTTTGCATTTTAAGTGCATATAATATTGCATATTTTTGACATTTTTAATGCTTTTTTTTAAGGTTTTTTAGTGCATTAAATTCACAGCCCTATAAATAATTAATACTTTACTAAAATATTTATAATTTTAGAATATCGATCTGGTCTTATAAAATAAATGTTTAATTACTTACTGAATTAATTTATTATTATTTATTGCTAATGTTAATTTAATATTTTTAGGTATCTTATTGTGATAGTAAAAGGTATGCTGAAAAAGTTGACATTCAAAATAATCAGTTTTTCAATTTGATAACTAATGTTGTCAAATATGGAATTAAATCATCAACTTATTCAGAAAGAGCTAATTTAATTATAAATTATATGGATGTCAACATACAATCGCTAGACTATGATGTTACATTAGCTGTTTGTGACACAACAGCTGGAAATGTGATAAAAAAAATGTTGGATGACTTCCCTACAGCCATAGAGACTAAAAAATGTTCAAACGAAAAATGTATAAGAACAAAAAATATTCAAAATAATATCATGTTTCTTACTTATCAAGTCAACAGCAGTCAACTATTTGAAGGACTTCAAACATATTTAGACAATAGAATTATATCGGAAAATTCAAAATGCGTTGAAAACTGTAATTCAGTAATATCGACTAATCTATCGGACATGCATTTGTTCATTGACATTTTATTTTGGGAAGGTAAGAAAATTTTAATATAAAAAATAATTGCATATAATTTGATATTTAAAACTGTATAGCGTGTATATCAGAAAAACCTAACAAATAAAAAATGGAAAAATGATACAAGTTAAACGTATTAAAAAAAAAAAAAATTATAAAAATAATAAATAATTTAAGATTTATTTATGTCTGAAAAATATTATTACGTTTTGAAATAATTATTAATTCAAATAAATAATGAGAAAAAATTCCTAAAATAAACTCTTTGACTTATATATTATAAAGGATTAAAAAATTAAAAAATGTGTACTGCACTTATAAGTCTAAAAATCATATTAAAACTTTTTTTTATTTTTAAAATAGATTAAAACAATTTGATTTGATTTTTCAGTCATTCTATTACACCTAGTATATACGTATAGATCTATATAAATTGAATTCAATGTGCTATCTTAAAATTATATTAATTAATAACTTATTAACAATAACTTTATTTTAGAGGACGATTTAAATATGAGTCGTCAACATAGTACAGAAGCTGCAAAGATTGTACAAATCAGACTATGTGACATTCCACAAATATTATGCAATGTAAATCAAACATTTGAGCTTCGAGGTGTCATAAGCTTTATACCTGGAAAAAGTAAATTAAGAAACTCAGTTGGACACTACAAATCATACGTGAAAAGAGGGGCATCAAATAATTGGGAAATATTTGATGATCTCAAAAA